CCAACACTCCAACACTCAGGCGCTCAGACACTCAGACACCTTGACACTCCAACACTGAAACTCCGATGCACAGACACTCAGACGCTCTGACACTCAGACACAGACACACAAACACACTGACACTCATGCTCTGACACTCCGTCACTCTGACATGCAGACACACAGAGACTCAGACACTCAGCCACTCCGACACTCCAACACTCCGACACTCAGTTGTTCCGATGCTCTGAAACTCAGACACTCTGACAAACGGACACTCCGACACTCAGACACTGACTGTCCGACATTCAGACGTTCCTATGCTCTGATGCTCCCACACTCAGACACTCAGACGCTCCGAAACGCCGAAGCTCCGAAAATTCAACACGCAGACACTCAGGCACTCTGACACTCAGTCCCTCAGACACTCCAATACTCGGCCGCTCCGCCACTCAGACACTCATACAGTCCGATACTCTGACGCTCAGGCACTCCAACACTCAGAAACTCATACATTCAGAGACGCAGACACACAAACACTCCAACACCCCGACACTCCAACCCTCCGATGCTCAGATGCTCCGACACTGTGACCTTCCAATGCTCAGATGCTCCAACGCTCCAACCCTCTGACGCTCCGAACCTCTGATCCTCCGACACTCCGACTCTACGACGCTCCAATGCTCAAACGCTCTGATGCTCGGACCCTCCGACGCTCGGACCCTCCGATGCTCAGACGCTCCGATGCTCCGACACTCAGATGCTCCGACACTCCGACGCTCAGCCACTCTGACCCTCCGACCTTCCAACACTCCGACGCTCTGACACTTCAACATTCAGACACTCCAACATGCAGACACTCAGATACTCATACTCTTGGACACTGAGACACTCAGACACTCAGACACTCTGACACTCAGATACTCCAACACTCTGACACAGACACTCAGATGCTCCGATGCTCCAACGCTCATACACTCCGACACTCAGACTCTTCGATGCTCCGACACTCAAACGCTCCGACATGCAGACACTCAGGCACTCAGACGCTCCGATGCTCCAACACTCGACACTCTGACACTCAGTCCCTCAGATGCTCCGACACTCTGACACTCTGACACTGGCACTCCGACACTCCGACGCTCCGACAACTCAGAAACTCATACACTCCCGACGCTCCGACACTCAGACACTCCGACGCTCCAACACTCAGAGACACAGACACACAAACACTCCGACCCTCTGACACTCATATGCTCCGACACTCCGACACTCTGTCACTGACACGCAGAAACTCAGACACTCAGACGCTCCGACGCCCCCCACACTCAGACGCTTCACTGCTCTGAAGGTCAGACACGCCGACATTCAGACACTCAAACACTCCGACATGCTGACACTCAGGCACTCAGACGCTCTGACACCCCGACACTCAGACGCACCGATGCTCTGATACTCAGACCGCTCGAAACTCCAATACTCAGACACTCAGACACTCATATGCTCCGACACGCCAACACTCCATCACTGACATGCAGTCACTCAGAGACTCAGACGCTCTGACACTCCAACACTCTGCCACTCCAACCCTCCGATGCTCCGACGCTGCGATGCTGCAATGCTCCGACTTTCCAACGCTCCAATGCTTCGACCCTCCGACACTCGGACACTCTGACACTCAGACACTCAGACACTCCGACCCTCCAACGCTTCAACGCTCCGACACTCCGATGCTCAGATGCTCCGACGCTCCAATGCATCGACCCTCCGACGCTCAGACACTCCAGCTTTCCGACACTCAGATGCTCTGACGCATCACCCCCCCGACCCTCAGACACTCCAGCTTTCCGACACTCAGATGCTCTGACGCATCGACCCTCCGACGCTCAGACACTCCAACTTTCCGACCCTCCGACACTCAGATGCTCTGACACTTTGACATTCAGACACGCTGACATGCAGACACTCAGACTCTTGGATACTGAGACACTCAGACGCTCCAATGCTCCGACACCCAGATGCTCCAACACTCAGACACTCTGACGCACCGGTGGTCACACTCTGACACTCCAACACTCAGACGCTCCGACACTCAGGCGCACCCTCGGACCCTCCGACACTCAGGCGCTCCGACACTCAGACACTCGGACATTCAGGCGCTCCAACACTCAGACATTCTGACACTTTGACACACAGACACTTCAACACTCATACACTCCGACACCGCTCTGAGCCTCCGAACCTCCAACACTCAGACACTGACACTCCGACACTCAGATGTTCCGATGCGCCAACGCTCTCACACTGAGACGCTCACATGCTCCCACACTCAGACACACTCTCACACTCTGACACTGCGACATTTTGACACTTCAACAGTCCGACGCTCCGACACTCAGACATTCTGATGGTCTGATGCTCCCAAACTCAGACATTCAGATGCTCCTACACTCCGACATTCTGACGCTTCAACACTGACACTTCGACACTCAAATGCTCCGACATGCAGACACTCAGGCACTCAGACACTCTAACACTCAGACATTCAGATGCTCCGTTGCTCTGATACTCAGACCGCTCGAAACTCCAATACTCAGACACTCAGACACTCATATGCTCCGACACGCCAACACTCCATCACTGACATGCAGTCACTCAGAGACTCAGACGCTCTGACACTCCAACACTCTGCCACTCCAACCCTCCGATGCTCCGACGCTGCGATGCTGCAATGCTCCGATGCTCCGACGCTCCAATGCTTCGACCCTCCGACACTCGGACACTCTGACACTCCGACCCTCCAACGCTTCAACGCTCCGACACTCCGATGCTCAGATGCTCCGACGCTCCAATGCATCGACCCTCCGACGCTCAGACACTCCAGCTTTCCGACACTCAGATGCTCTGACGCATCGACCCTCCGACGCTCAGACACTCCAACTTTCCGACCCTCCGACACTCAGATGCTCTGACACTTTGACATTCAGACACGCTGACATGCAGACACTCAGACTCTTGGATACTGAGACACTCAGACGCTCCAATGCTCCGACACCCAGATGCTCCAACACTCAGACACTCTGACGCACCGGTGGTCACACTCTGACACTCCAACACTCAGACGCTCCGACACTCAGGCGCTCCGACACTCAGACACTCGGACATTCAGGCGCTCCGACACTCAGACATTCTGACACTTTGACACACAGACACTTCAACACTCATACACTCCGACACCGCTCTGAGCCTCCGAACCTCCAACACTCAGACACTGACACTCCGACACTCAGATGTTCCGATGCGCCAACGCTCTCACACTGAGACGCTCACATGCTCCCACACTCAGACACACTCTCACACTCTGACACTGCGACATTTTGACACTTCAACAGTCCGACGCTCCGACACTCAGACATTCTGATGGTCTGATGCTCCCAAACTCAGACATTCAGATGCTCCTACACTCCGACATTCTGACGCTTCAACACTGACACTTCGACACTCAAATGCTCCGACATGCAGACACTCAGGCACTCAGACACTCTAACACTCAGACATTCAGATGCTCCGTTGCTCCAACACTTGGACACTCTGATGCTCAGTCCCTCAGACACTCAGATGTTCTGACACTCTGGCACTCCGACACTCTGAAACTCCGATGCTAAGACACTCAGACACTCCGACACTCGGACAACGCAGAAACTCAGACACTCCAACGCTCTGACATTCCGACACTCCGACACGCCGACGCTCAGATGCTCCGACGCTCAGAGACACAGACACACAAACGCGCCGACCCTCCGACACTGACATGCAGACACACAGAGACTCAGACACTCAGACGCTCCGACGCCCCCACACTCAGACGCTCCGACGCTCTGAAGCTCAGACATGCCAACATTCAGACACTCAAACACTCCGACATGCTGACACTCAGGCACTCAGACCCTCAGACGCTCTGACATGCTGACACCCCCAATGCTCAGACACTCAGACGCACCGATGCTCTGACACACAAACACTCCGACCCTCCGACACTCATATGCTCTGACACTCCAACACTCCGTCACTGACACGCAGACACTCACTCAGAGACTCAGATGCTCCACCGCTCCCCGCTGTGACACTCAGACACTTGAACACTCAGACACTCTGAAACTCTGACGCTCCAACACTCAGATACTCTGACGCTCCAACACTCAGATACTCTGACACTCCAATGCTTTGACGCTCCGACACTCACTCAGACGCTCAGACATTGAGACACTCAGAGATTCAAACACTGACGCTCCGATGCTGTGATGCTCTGATGCTCAGACACTCCGACACTCGCACTCCGATGCTCCAACACTTGAACACTCTGACACTCCGCTCCAAAAGTCATACGCTTTGACACTCCGACACTCAGATGCTCTGATGCTCTGACACTCCGATGCTCCGGCACTCAATCTAACACTCAGACACTCCCTCACTCAGATGCTCTTACACTCTGATGCTCCGATGCTCAGGTACTCCGATGCTCCAACACTCAGACACACTGACGCTCCGAAACTGCAACACTCCGACATTCACTCAGACACGCCGACACTCAGACACATAAACAGTCCCACAGTCCCTCACTCCCACATTCAGATACTCTGACATGCTGACACTTCGACTCTGACACTCAGACAATCCAACGCTCTGACACTCCGACACTCAGCCACTCAGGCACTCTGACACCCACACAGTCCGACACTCACACACTTTGACACTCCAACACTCCGATGCTCCGACTCTCTGACAATCTGACACTAAGACACTCTGACTTGCCAACACTCCGAAACTCAGACACTCTGACACTCAAGACACTCAGGCACTCCAACCCTCCGACACTCTGAAATCCCAACACTCCAACATTTCGTCTCCCCGATACTCAGACACTCCGACGCTCATGCTCTGACACTCCTATGTGCCGACGATCAGACACTCCCACACTCCGACGCTCTGACACTCAGGTGCTCCGATGCTCCGACACTCACATGCTCTGACTCTCCGACACTCCAACACTCAGATGATCCGATGCTCCATTGCTCCAACACTCCGACTGTTATGGAAACAGTTCGAGCCTATGTTTCCGAGGAGCTGAGTTTCACATAACGTGCAACAGCTAATTTAATTATTTAATTAAATGATGGTACGACAAAGTAACCGCTCAAGACTTGTTACAGTCTTATTTATTTCCCTGTCTGCCAGTGAAAGCGTCTTCCAATCCTCTTTACTGAGTCAATGGTCTGTTTCCCTCTCATTGGTTCATATCTGCATCCTGGGACAGTTGCTAGACGGTTGCTATGTTACTGCTCCACAGTACCTTATCTTATCTGAAAGTCAGTTTTTATCTCTATTCATTCTGGTCACTCTGTTCTGCATCCTTGAAGGCTGGTTCTAGCTGATGTTGCAGTCGCATCATCAGCACTGTTCTTTGGGTTACAGTTCAGTCCTGCAGCCTGCAGGCTTCACCTACTTTAGGCACTTAGGCTAAGCAAGAGTCAGATTTAGGCTAAGCTGAAGTTAAAAGTCAGCTACAATTTCCTTCTCTAAAATACTGTCCCTCTCCTGAGCAAAAAAGTTGTCCTGGGAGGAGTCTTCGGGCAGTCTCGCATTGCCTTTGGCATGCCCTTTGCAGCCACAATCCACGTGAGGCTCTACCTTTTCTCTCCCTCTTAACCCTAAGGCTGAGCTCAGGCATGGCCCGAACCAGAGCCCACAAGCCCTGTTCCACTCTGGAACCAAAAAGTTGTCCTGGGAGGAGTCTTGTGGCAATCCCACATTTCCTTTGGCATGCCCTTTGCAGCCCCACTCCACATGGGGCTCTACCCTTTCTCTCCCTCCTAACACTAACCCTAAGTCTGAGCTCAGGCTTGCCTGAACCACAGCCAACAAGCCCTGTTCCTCTTCTGAACAAAAAAGTTGTCCTGGGAGGAGTCTTGGGGCAGCCTCGCCTTGCCTTTGGCATGCCCTTTGCAGTCCCAATCCACGTGGTGCTCTACCCTTTCCCTCCCTCCAAACCGTAGCCCTAATTCTAACGCTGAGCTCAGGCATGGTCCAACCAGAGTCCACAAGAGAAAGAGGGGCAAAGGAAGGAGAAAGAGAAAAGGGGGCGGAGAAAGAGAAAGAGGACAGGCAAAATAAGGAGAAAGAAGGACAGGTAAAGTAAAGAGAAAGAAGGGCAAAGTAAGGAGAAAGAGAGAGAAAGAGAGAAGGAGAAAGAGAAAGAGAGAGAAAGAGAAAGAAAGAGAAAGAAAAAGAGAAAGAGAAAGAGAGAGAAAGAGAAAGAGAAAGAAAGTGAAAGTGAAAGAGAAAGAAAGAAAGAGAAGAAGGGGCAAAATAAGGAGAAGGAGAAAGAGGCAAAGGAAAGAGAAAGAGGAAGAGGGGACAAGAAAGGGGAAAGAAAGGGGCGGAGAACGACAAAGACGGGCAAAGTAAGGAGAAAGAGAAAGAAAGAAAGATGGGTAAAAAAGGAGAAAGAGTAAGAGGGGCAAAGGAAGTAGAAAGAGGGGCAAAGTAAGGAGGAAGAGAAAGAGGGGCTGAGAAAGAGAAAGAGGGGCAAAGAAAGGAGAAAGGGGCAAAGCAAGGAGTAAGAGAAAGAGTGGCAGAGAA